AAAGAGAAAATGACAAAGGCGAGAGGGGCGGCCGATTCGATTGGAAAGGCAGGCAGAGGGGCCTCTTTCCTTTTACCAGCGTTTTCTCCGTATTACGTTCCATACTTTCCGTTGTTCCTGCGCGGGCTCGCGCGCGCGCCCGCACCAACACGCGTCCACCAATCCATATATACGCGGCCAAATACGCACACATATACCCGCGTTCTCTTTCCTTTCTGTCCTCCCCCTCGTCTCCGTCGACCTCTTGTCCTATCCTCCTTCACCCTCCACGCCGTTCTCCTTCTGCCGTTCTCCTCATCGTTCCGCGGCTGCCTTCGTCCTCCTCTTCGTCGCTATTGTACGTACGTGTGTGCACCGCGTTACGTGTGTACGTGCGCCTTGTCTCAATCGTCGTACGCGAGGTTTCATGTCGCACGGCTCTGCGCTCCCGCGGCGAGCGAGAGGGCGGCTTTATACGTGGGTGAACGGGAAAATGTCTTTTGAAACCTTTCTAGGTCGCTCTCGATCGCCCTACTGTCAGTCATATACACACGCGAGATCCCGCTCTCGAGAAAACGCTTGCCGCCTCGCGCGCGTCTCTCTCTCTCTCTCTCTCGACGACGCCGGTGGCTTCGTCGCTAAATTTTGGCTCGAAAATGCTAAAGGAACGTAAATGTATCGCCTACTTCGATAAATAAGAATGGAATGCAGAAGCATCTCCGATTCAATTAAGTTTACGTGCACGCGAATGGATCCTATGATGGTCGTATTTAAATTAGATAGTGACGAAACTGCATAGATTCTCGCGAGGGGTCCGAAGGCCAAGAAGAAGTAGAGAAGAAAGGAAGACGAGAGAGGAAAAAAAAGAAAAGAAAAGAAACGGACGATAAAAAGTATAATGAGGATGGAAGAGACGAGAAGAATAAAAAAGAAAATGTCGAATTCGTCTGCATATATTGCACGACGATCATATTCATTACGTTTTATCTTTTTAACATTTACTTATATAAAAAAGTGCTGCCACATTCGAATAATCCTCCCTGGAGCCGCGTAAAATTTCGTTAATTAAATAATTTCTTAAAGGCAAGCCGCGTTCAAGCCGCTCAAAGCCGAAACGGCGCGAAGGGATCATTCGCCTCTCCCTTACCGAACGGAAAAGCTTTCCTATTATTTCGCGGCAGCGGAAGAGATCCTTATATTACGTGGCAAAATCAAACGTCGTCCTGTAATACGCCCACCCGTTGCCATCGCGACATTTCACAAACGAAGTTACGAACGAGCGTGCTATTGAGACAGCGCGCGCGGCGAGACTCGTTCTCGCTTTTGCAATTTGTAAATCCCGTCGCGAGCGAGCGCGCGCGCGCACGGGGGGGGGGGCATTACGGTACCGCGATCCTCGCGTTCTCTCTCCTTTTTTCGCCGATTCGCATCTGGTCGTCCTCCGGAACTCGATCCTTGAATCGCGCCGGGTGGGGAAAAAAAAGGGGCAGAAAGAGAGAAGGAGGCGATCGATGGAAGAGAAGAGACGTACGCGGAGGAGACGCTGAGGAGAAAGGCAGAGGGATAGAAAGAGGGAAGGACACGAGGGGGGGCGAGAGACTGAGGCTAGAATATGCGCAAGATAGACAGATGGAGGAGAGGAAGAGCGGGAGAGAGAGAGAGAGAAAGAGAGAAAAGGTGTTGTTCCGTCGAGCGGCGCGCGGCGGGGAACGAACGCGAGGCAAGGCTGAGAGAAGGAACAGTAAAATTGTGGAGAATGTGCACGCGCCATCATCAGGGTGGCCTAGATTCAGCCAAGACCTGCTTTCTAGGCAGCATTTCTCTTTATCATCGGCGGCGAGCGCGAGCGCGATGTATAGGCGGACCGTTGGCTCGATGCGCGCGGAGAAAATCTCTTTCGCGGGATGCACGAGCCCATTCGTCGTGGGACGGAAGATCGTGCAAACGTTAAACTTGCGATCCTTAATCGAGCTGATTATACGAACGTTCATATTCGCGGATCGAAGTTCTTGTACATCGCGATAGCGTGGAAGTCTCGCGAATTGAGAAGAATATTTTGCGTTTTCTATTAAAACAATTTCAACGCACGGCAATACGTTCAATAATGTCTATATACAAAAACATATGATACATTTACTATCCCGAAACGGAATTACGACGGTCGAAATTGAGCTCGCGATCCGTCAATTACGAGTTCAGTGTTCACCTTGTTGAACGGGAAAATATCGCGTAATATGTTGGGAATTTCTCGACGAGCTCTTAAAAGACGACAGTTCTAATCATGGGGAATGTTAAAAGGAAAACAGTCGCTAATTTCAGGGAACGGTGCAAGTACCTGTTCTAAAGCTCTTTTGCCGAGCGGCCGTGACGAATTTATTAACGTATCGCTCTGAGGAAGCGGAGAAGGGGGCGCACGTGGTTAACGCAAACTGCGAAACTTCGCCGATCGGTCACCATCAATCATCGGCGATTTTCTCCTATTTGACGGTCATTTAATTACCGAGATAAACCCGTTTACCGCACGCGCGCGCGTACACGATGAAACGAGCGCGCTCCCGAAGCCTTTCGTCGGTCGTGTCACGCACGGCGATCGACACGCGATGCAAGCAACTTGCGGGCGCCGTGCGATCGTTGACGACCCAACGGCTTCGGGAAAGACGGCGCGAAAGACGGAGAAGTGCGCTAATAATGACCGGGAACCCTCCGGGAATAAACCCTATTAGTCTGCCATACCGAGGAATCAATGTTTCCGAGATCTCCCATCGTCGTTGCCAATCGTCGAAATCAATCAAGTGTTAACAAGGACGAAGAGATTTCATCAAATCGTCGTATTTATAGTATAATCGACGCTGAGAATAGCGAGCCACGAATCTCCAGCGATTTATATTAATTATTATAATTTATATAAATTCATATCACTTTAATTAAAGTCGTGTCATGTATATCTGCGTTACGTAAAACGGAGAAGTATCTGCGCAATGTCCAGAGGCACATAATTAAATTAAATTAAATTAAAATGACGATCACCTACCTACCACGTCGTTCCGTTTCGTCGCAAAAGGAAAAAGAATTCGACACGGTCGTCGCTAATCAGAATCCTTCGTCGCAGTTTAATCAAATCGCTTTATTGCGCGGACAAACATCCTACAGACTCGATTCTCGAGATACAGTAGCGTATCTTTCGCAGTCATTAAGCACCTAGCTGTCCTCGAAATCTACATCGACGCGTGTCGCAACGATTTATTTTGTCGACGCGCGGGACAATATATATATTCCTACGAAACGGAAGTTTTTCAGGACAGTTTCCAAACGAAATATTCCTAATAACGTTCCCGAGTGGCGGGATAAACTCTCGGCGGGGTCCCGGCGCGGCCTCGGTCCTCGCATCCGAATGCATCCCGCGCGCTCGTAATCGGCCAATTATTGGCCGGTGCATCGCGCACGTGACCTACCGTAACGAGTGACACGGCTGTTTCGAGCGGCTGAAAACCGCGTGGCCGCGGAGACGCGCGCGCGCGTCCCAGGAGAAACCTGCTTTTTAAGCCTTGTGTCCACGGTGCGGAGAAAGAATTAACAATTAACCAATTGCGTTGGTCAATTGTTTAACACCGCGCGGACACCGTGTTTTTGAAGCACTCACCCGGACTTTTAAGTCCAAAGGGTCTTTGAAAGCGTTTCTGCGTTAGAAAAAATCTATAAAAATTCACGTATCATCTTTAAGGTTTCAAAAAGCGATTCCTATACTTACACAAGGCCGAAGCTGTTGCAATTTTTTTTTTAAGAGTTGAGACGTCAGAAGAAAATGGAAAATTACGAAAAATCGACTGTGCCTCAAAAGTGTTAAACGTAATCGGTCAATTCTTCCTCCGTCCGAGATCGCGGTGCGATTTCCAGCACATCGTGGACACGAGGCTTTAATCGCTCGTGCCGACAGATCGCTCCTAAAAAATCCAAGCGCATCGTGCCACGAATCGTGGCACAGCGTATTTACAGCTGGGCGCGCGTTACGATTCGGCAGTGAAAACAATGCGCGGCCGCGAGAGAAAAACGAGGAAAGTCGACGCTTCCGTCGCGCTCTACCGTTATCATTTTTCCAACACGATTTAATTTTCGCGTCACGTACGACGAGCGCTATAAAAATACGCGCTACAAAATAAATCGATCTGTCTCGATAATCGCGGAGGATTTTATTTTCAAGACTTTCTTCGGGGATCGCGTACACAGAATTTCACGTAATTCCTTTCGAAAGCTATAAATTTCGTCTCGCTATGACTTCCGTGTAAATCGCATCGATATTATCGACTCAAAAATTTAAGGTTGTCGAGAAATTTGTTGGCAGCGGTAGACTCGTTTCGCCCTAGATCCCGATAAGAGATTTCGGACAAGCGTAAAGGTCAATCCAGACAAATTTGCATAGCGCATAAACATAAGCATAAGATATTTGATTGGTCCATATACATGTGCATAAGGAAATAGACCAATCGTTTCTTTATGCATATGGTTATGCACCTATGCAAGTTTGTCTGGATAGATCTTAAAACTGGTGACCGGACATTCGTACCGACACACAGAAGTACGCAATTTCACGCACAAAAGCGCCGCGGCATTGTCGTCCGCGTTTCGCAATTGGCTCATTGACTGGCGCACTTGTCCGGGAAGCACGTGGCCTCATTGATAATCAAAGGAGGAAGAAAAAAAGAACAGGAAGGGGAAAAAAAGACGTACGCCTCGCTGGGGGAGAGGACGACGTGACGGAAACAAATTTCGCAGCGGGCCGGGTGAACGTACGTATATATACACACTCCGAAAAATTGAAACATTTGAAATTCGCGGTTCTCCCCGGAGTCCCCGGACGCGTCTCGAGGAGACGAGTATACGTCGAGGGTACGTCGATATCGTGGATACGCGCGACGTTCGTTGTCAAATTGAAGGAGAGCACGACGGACGTCGGCGAGCGCGCGATTTCTCGTCGCCGACGTCGTGCTCGGCGGAAAAATCTCACGATCGTGACGGTTACGTACCTCACCATGACCTGACCCACAAATGAAATCGCAGCGGCAGCAGCGGTAGCGTGTCGGTTAGCAGCAGCAGCGGCGGCAGCAACGGCGATTCCGGAGTTCCGCGGTGATCGCCAACCCCGCGCGGCTGCACCAAGCTCTCCCCCGGGGGGATGTTGACGTACACACACTTTCGCCGGATGATTTAAACACACCGCCGCGAGGGCGCGAAACGAGGATACGGAGGTATCTCGGAGACGTGAGACGCGTGCGATTGTTCGCGCGCACGCACGCAAAACTGTCACCCACGCACGGCCGGTACCGGCCGTGTCAAACCGTCGTCGCGAGAGGCACGCACGCACCGCGTTGCCCACTGGCAGCTGTCACTCACGGATTGCCCGTGAAAACGTCGCGGCCCGAAGTGGCATAGCGAATCACGGGGAGACAGAGACCGGAGAGAGAAGGCGAGGAAGGGAGAGGGAAAGGGAGAGGGAGAAGGAGAGAAAGACGGAGACCGGAGGCGCAGCGAGTCGGCGAGACGGAGAAAGGGGCGAGAAAGGGGAAAGGAGAAAGGAGAGAGAGAGAAAGAGAGAGAGAAAGGAGGAAGAGAGAGGAAGAGGCAACGACGAGCATGCATGCACACTAGGGGGCACTGCGATGGCGGCGGCGGCGGCGGTGGCGGCGGCGGCGACGAATGGGCCGTGCTCCGTCGCGGACGGTGGCGCAAAGCGATTAAGCGATTTTGTTGTGGACCCCGATTCTTCCCTTCGTCGGCTCTCTCTTCCCGGCTTTCCACTTCTCCCGCGCGCCCGCCTTTCGCCTCTCCCGCGCCGCGCGCCGGCCGCGCCGCGCTACGCCACGAACGTGCCCTAGAACGGAAACCCGGCTCTTTATCCCTACCACCGCCTACCCCCCCCGTCCCCCCCCGCCCCCACCTCTCGAGCGTGGCGCGGATCCCCCACCGCGCGCGCCAATAACGTTGGCGTCGAACGCCAGGCGCGTAATATCCGAGAGACCGAGAGAGCGCGCGCAAGGGATCCGAGCGACAGAGGGCACCACTTTTAACGCGTTGCCCGCGTTGGCGTTGACCGCGATCATCCGTGATACCCGTGCTCTCTCGACTTTTTAGCGGGCACCCTGTTACGCCGATAACCGGCGCTTTTTTCAAAACGCTCGCAAAAAATTAATGTCATGTAAAAACATAAATGCCACTTAATGTCTTAAACGTAAATAGCTAGGTAGGAAAGCGAGATGAAACATGTGCTGCTATTCAACACGCGTGAGAATATAATTGTATTCAATGATGCGATATTTTATTATTTTATATTAGAGTCCGACCGAAAATTCGGTTTCGGTCAGTTTCGGCAAAAAAATCGGAGTTTCGGTTTCGAAATTGACACATAACCGAACATTCGTTTTCTGTTTCAGCCGAAATTAAAAAAAATATTGTGTTATTTTATACTTAATAAAAGTTGAGAGATAATGAAAATTTTACGTACATAATATGGCATAGAAAAGTCGTTGGATAAATAATGTATTGAACGCGTTCGAGTTCGCTCGACTTTTCTTCTGAACACAAATCCATACACAAACGACCTTGTAAGCTCGAGTTCAGCTTGTATTTGTACAGTTGGCATGTAAAGTATTTTGAAACGAATAACGGGATTATCGAACCAAAACGTCTAATGACGGCTTCACGCCGTACGCAGCGAGCAAATCTCTAATTAAATACCGAATCGTTTCAGTCATTATGATTGTAATCACGTTAATATTTCGTGAAACTTTAACTAATTTAACGACATAAGTAAGATTTTGTGTGACAATTTTAAGATACAAGCGCAAATCGATATGATTTATGATTTTCAAAGCTTTTCATTATTTTCTCCGAGGAAAGCATAATTTTTAGAATGTTATGATTTCTAGATTAAACTATTTCATAAATAAATTATTTCATTAGAGTCGGTTGTTGCAACCTGTTGGTAAACTAATAATCAAATCTATATAAATAATCAACCAATAATAATAAAAATATATATATATGTATATATTTCTATTTTTTTCCTTCAAATTAGACAAAGATAGACATATGATTTAATTATTATTATATTGAAACAACCGGCTCTTAAGAATGTAACATATCTTTTTCGGACCTGCCGTTGCTATTATTCGGAGCATCTGTTCCGCTCTCTTTCTAGGAGACGCGATCGTCACAGCATTTTTCTTTTACGTCGCAGTCGCGCGCGAGGAAACGCGGTCACACGTCGCCGGGGTACCCGTGACGCTCCGCGCGGCAGCGCCGTTCCTGTGTGGACCGTTCTCTTTCCGTTCCCCCTCCCCCTCCCGCCAACCAACGCCGTCGGTTCGTCGATGCGCAGAAGACCGATTCGCGGTTACTGCGCCGCGTCTGGGAGCGCTGCGACCGGGGGCCGAGCTCCGTTTCCGTGCCGCCGCGGCGTTGTCCTCTCGCAGAAACTGATCGATCGTAAGCGCGTACCGCCGCGGCACGGCCATTGTGTAAAAAGGACCCATGACGCTCGGATAGTGCACGCTGAGGAGTGGACGCGTAGTTTTTTTCCCCCCCAGTTTCGTCCTCTTGTGATATTTAGACTGTGCCAATACATAGGTGAGTAGAAAAATGATCGTCTGCCCTTTCTTGTCTACGCGTCTCGTCGCCCGCTCTCACGCTTCGCCGCCGCCGGCGGCCGCTCGCTCTCTCGCGAGCGGTGGAAAGTCGCCGCGGAAAACCAGGTCGCGCGCACCGCCATGTCGCGTCGCCGCGTTCTCACGCCCGCCCCGTGTCCGTCGGCGGGAAAAAATTACGCGTTTTCTCGTCCCCAAGCTCGGTTTCGACGAAAATCCCCGGTCGCTCGTGGCGTTCTCGCCGGTTCGGGAGACCGAGTTTTCCCCGGGCGCGTTTTCGGGAGTTTTTCGCCATTTTGTCTCTCTCGGCCCGTGAACGGGCGCGAAGTCGGCCATTACGCGCGCGATCGCGGACCGGTCTCTCCTCGCGACGTCGATCGACAACGGGGTCTTTTCGTCGTCTCGTCCGGACGCGTCCGGAACGACGCGACACGTGGGGGAATCGTCGAGACGGCGCGGCCGTCCGCGGGAAACGTCGGCCGGAGGTTATTGCACTTCTGAACGGGTTATCTAATGAAAATGATGCGAATGGCCGAACGATTATATACTTATTCGCGATTCTCTGCTCGTTGCGAAAAGCGTTCCCGAAACGAATCGCGATTCTCAACGTGACGCGATGGGCGTCTCCGGGCCACGAGCTGTGAACTTAGCCGCGCGTCGATTTGCATTCGCGATTACGAGCGGGCGACGCGCGCGTTCTGCGTCACACTTGCGAACACCGATCGGTAATTAGAGGTTGAATTACATGACCGCGTTGCGTCGGCTCGCGTCGCTGATTACGACACGAGTTGCGTAAATGACGCGATAGCGACGATTGTTTGCAAATTTCGAGTTTCTCTAATTGACCGAGACACCGCGCCGTGTCTCGCGATAAACCACCGACTGTCGAAGCGAGGACAGGAGGTAATATTATATTATATATATATTTTTTGTTATGTTTTAATGAACTACGTAACCGCTTCTTGTTATCGTTCGCACCGGTCGACAGTTTCGTTTATCGCATTATTACGTCCGACGTGTCCACATCGGTGGGCGCCGTATCCACGGCGGCGTTTCGGCAATCGCTAAATATAGAAAAGTGATCGAGGTCGCGTTATGAGAGGTTCGGGAAAGCGCGTCGGCCATGACTGTTACCGCCGCGTCAGGGGGGAATGAGAAAAGCGGCGGCGACGTCCGCCATGACGTTGCCCGGCGTGAGATTTCCAGACGCCCCGGCGCAATTACCTCATCGCGACGAGATCGATTTTCGTTTCGTCGAATTTCGATTCGGCGAGGGAGACGCCGGCGGCGTCGTCGGCTGAGCTCGGTCGCCCGATCGAACGCTTCTCGCGTGCGCGATCGGTTTTGCTTTTTGATTATCGGGCCGCGATAAGCGCGAGTCGAAGCATCCGCGTCTCGTTCGAGATTACGTAAAGGAACGTAACTCGTCGAACTCGAGACAAAAGGGCAACGCAGTCCCGTCGGTGCCGGTATTATACGCTAGCGGTTTCTACCTTGCTTTATTACCGCGATTGAACGACCTTTTATTGACATTCCAGTCAACGCTCGGAATTTATACGATCGAATTCCGTTCCGGCTTTATTTACCCTTCGGATTAAACGCGTAAGAAAATAAACAGCGACAGCGAAGCGGAATTGCGATGTTGATGGGGAGAATCGAGACGTGCGGTAACAACACGGGCGAGAGGAATAATAAACGTTGAACGTCGATCGATCGAAATCCAGTCGTGCCCGAGAACGACTGTATTTTCAAAATGCAACCTTTTCTTTTTCAGGCGCGACATTTTTATGCCGGTTATTTTTTTAACATGTATATTCGTACTTGTAGATAAGTGAGCAAAATGCAAAAATTAGAGCTAACAACCCGTTTATCTCTTGAACTTTTTCTAGAGATGTTTATTTTTAGATATTCGCATCGTCAAAGCTAATAGTCTGCGATTAGCACGGAGTCGACGTAAAACTGCCAGTTCTTGCGTAGGTCATGTAATTGACTTTCAATACACGATTCTTTTTCAAATCGATCCGCTGCTTTTTATAATACCGTCACCATTCAATTGAAAAGTATTTATATAGAACAACGCGAGGCCAACTTTGCGTTGCCAACGCAATTTTTTTTATTGTTTCTTTTGTTGGTGATTTTCCCAAGTATACAGTCGATTAGTTTTCCGCTTTTCGCGGAAATAATAAGTATGTTGGGAAATACGATTAAATGACGTGTTTTTTTTTTCGAATGTAACTTGTCGAATACATTGTGTAGAAATTTAGAATATAAGCGCAAGTTAGATTTGAAAATGGAATTTCATGCGAAATTCCAAGTTATTGAATCGTCGTACCGATCGTGAATTTTCTGAACTCGCCTCGGGCAATTTTTAAGACGTTTTTTTTTTTATCGAGTTGAAGTTGACGCGGAGAGGTAAAATACGGTGTAGAAAATCGATACTGGCCGACGTTGCGACGGGTTCGACCTCTTTTTCGGGACTCGTCCTTCCGAGGACTCGCGCGGAGAGTAAATTCTCGGGAACGTCGGACGCCTTTCGGGGAGAGGCGCTGAAAAACGAAGCTCCGCGCGCGACCATCTTGACGCCGATCGCAATTCGGCCTCGGCCCCCCGGCCCCGGCGTCGGTGCTATTCTCAATCACGTCGCAGTAGCGAATTTCCGTGTGGCGCGCATGCGCGTCGTTTTCCTTTCCTGTTTTTCCATCTCGCTCGCACCGCGGGGACGCGGCTCTCGCTCCTCGGCCCGACGCCTGCGCCCTCCGACGGCGCCCCGCGGCGGCGGAGCTTAGAGGCGTTGAGGCTGTGCGCCATTGTTGAAAAGGGCAGCGCACGAGGCGGACGCCGGGCCTGGACGCTCCACGCTGTTTTACACTTTTCACCGACTCCCATTGCTGTGATATTAGATTGTTTTATATCTCCCTTATTAGGTGAGTGATCACGTCGCTCGTAACGAAACGCACGCAAACGGTTCGCGGCGGAGCGCGTTCGCGAAGCGAAACGGAGAAATCGCGTCGGGACATCGCGTCGCGGGTGACATGGCGCGGCGGGCGGGTCCGTGAGATGGCGAGTGTTTTTCGAGAGTCGTTGGAGAAGATAATATCGTGGCGTCGCGTCGCGGTTCATCATCGTCGTCGCGATTCCGTAAAGATGAGCATTTTCCGCGCGTTAGTGGCGTAGCGTTTGCGATTTCAGTGCTATTGTCCAGACGCGACGCACACGAGCGCGGGGGGAATTCGGTCGCCGTGAGAGCGTGTGTGAGCGCGCGCGCGCGCGCAAGAGCGCGGCGCCGCGCGGATCGATCGCCCGTGGTTTTCCGCCGCGAGCTTTCCACCCGCCGCCATTTTGTCCCGGGCCCGACCTCGCCGACCGCCATATTGCGTTCCACGTCTTCGCTCACCGACTCTCGCGGGGCGTGGGGGAGGGGGTTCGCGTCGTCGCAAAACGGTTTCTCTCCTTCCCATTTTCTCTCTCTGCCGCGCTTTTTTCTCGTATTCCTGTATCTCGACGATTGCGCGCGCGCGCGCGATATTCGATCGGGAAAAATTATCTGTCAACAATTTGTTTTTATTTCGTGCGCGCGCGTACGCACACGCACACACGCTGCCGCTCGGCACCACCTGACGTAACTCGTTCGCGCGCGCGCGAGATAACAATATAAATAGATTACGCAATCGCGGGCCGAGGAACGACTTGGTCTCTTTCGCTCCTTTTTTTTTTGTTCCCCTCTTTCTCCGTCCTCGCGCGGCACCTCGCGATTGCGCACCTCCCGCCGGTCCTCCTGCTGCGTGTCCGGTAAACGTCTCCCCCCCCGTCGGCGTCCCCCACCTACGTCGGTCGCGGGCCGCGTGATCGATTTTCCGTATTTATTGCGCGCCGCTAATGTATATCGCGCTGACGCAAATCGGGTTAGACCCGTCCCGGTTTCGTTCGTCGTGCCTCTCGGCCGGTGACGCGTCGATGAAAACGTCACGATGAAAATACGTGGATCGATCGCGAGTGAGCAGGTTTCTTGAGATTCGGGATCGCCCGGTCGTGACGTCGCGTCTTCAGGTATACTACGCGTTGCTCTGACGGTTCCCTTTTTTTTTCTTTTTTGCGTGGCTTTTATCGGCTTTATCGGTATCACGGTATCGCAATTTCCGCCGCGGTAAAATAGATTTTTGATGTTTTGGTTTCGATAAAAGAATTCTCGGATGATGTACGTGAGGAGGTCCGGCGGTGACGGCGGCGGCGGCGGCGGCGGCGGCGGCGGCACCCGCAGCAGCCGCCCCTGAGTCCAGGGGCCTCCGCGGTCGTTGCGCAAGTCGTGCGCGCAGCCCGGACGTCGCTGTTGCGCGTGCGCGGTGCTTGCGCGTCCTCCTGCATCATCCCCACCAGGGCAGTCCATTACCGTTACCAGACACGCACAAAGGAAAAGGCCAGAAGAGCGATCCGACCGACGCATCGCTCACACGGCCATTTTGGAAGCTTCGGCGCTTCGTTGCGGAGCTTTCGCCTTCGTCGTCCTCCCGCGAGGGCCGCGCGCGCGAGAAAGAGCGAGAAAGAGAGAGGAGAGGAGAACGCGGAACTGTCTGATCGGTACGAAAGTCGGGAGACGTACTTTCGTGGGTACGTCGTTCGGCTCGATGTGCGCGATAACAATCGGTCGCGGGAGGACGAGATAGCGTCGGGTCGCTCGGTCGATTGATAGCACGGTAAGGAGAAACGGGAGCGCGCGTGAGAGAGGACGAGCCCGTCGGCAGGTTCCGCCACTCGTACGTTATCCGGTTTTCTCCGCTTCGTCGGTTTCTCCTACGCTACGCTTGGCTTATCCACGCTTGTTTTTCTCCATCTGTGCAGAAACGAGGAAACGAAGCCAGAACTACCATGGAGGACGACCAGCAGTTCTGTCTCAGGTGGAACAACCACCAAAGTACGCTCATACAAAACTTCGACACACTCCTGGAAAGCGGGACGCTGGTCGACTGCACCCTGGCGGCGGAGGGGAAGACTCTCAAGGCCCATAAAGTAGTCCTCTCCGCGTGCAGTCCATACTTTGAGGTGAGCGAAACGTTCTGTTTATCATTACTTAATCCTACAACCCGTCTCAATCTTTCGAAATGTATTGCAAAGCGATTTTCTTCTTCTAAGACACCAGCTCTGAATCGTTCTATTTCCTTTATATTTTCTTGAAATTGATTGATATAACGATTGACATGATCAGACAGAATTCTTTTTTCGAATCTATTTTATTGTAAATTGTAGAGTAACATTATCTATATTTGAAAGTAAAAATATAGTTGCGATAATTTAAAGAACGACGTTGATACAATTTTATTAATAATCGTGTTGTATTATAAATTACTTATTAACGAAAATACGAGTTAAAATTAAAAGAATTTGATCTAGAATAATTTTGAACGTAACAAATTGTAATTACGTACCGCGAAGCTTTTCCCCTTGCTTCTTTGTCCAATTGGTTCAGTCGGGTTAGATCAATACGAAACACATTGGGAGGGAGCGAGAGAGATTGTTGAGAAGCAAGGGGGAGGAGGGGGATCTCAAGTTGAAACAAGATGGCCGTGCTTGTTGAACGTTGCCTGGGCAGGAGTGTAGGAGGTGCAGTGGGGAAGAGTGGGGGGCAAAAGCCTGAAGCCCCCTCCTAGGTCCTCTTGATCAATACAAGGAAAGCAAGATGGCTGATTTCCAGGGCACTTGCCCTGGGATTTTACCCTAATATGGGTGGGGATGCAGAGCGGCTGTTGCAATAATTGAATACTGCTCTATGAAAATTAATAATATGCTTGAATTGTATTTGCGTTCTCGTGTAGATCTTAGCTCGTCCCAGATGTAGCACTTTGCATTCTTAGCTACAGTATAGGACGTATGAGAGATTAATACCACTAAATAAATAATTCTGCCTGTAGCGTGTACTCCACAAATAATATTTAAACTTTATCGTGTCCATATATTTCTTGCAGAACATTTATATGTATTATAATGTGCAGAAAGTAGATGCTATAAATATTTTAGAGTAACATCTATATTTAATATGAATTGGGAAAATAAATTATTATATTATTATATGTAATTAATATTGTGACTGTTTGTCTGAAAAGATGATGTATTTTCATGTTACAGTGCCTCCTCAGCGAACACTATGACAAGCATCCAGTCTTCATACTCAAAGATGTTAAATTCAAAGAACTTAAGGCAATGATGGATTACATGTACAGAGGGGAAGTAAATATTTCCCAAGACCAATTGGCAGCACTCCTCAAAGCCGCCGAGTCTCTGCAAATTAAGGGCCTTTCGGAAAGTAAAACTGCTGGCAGTAGTAAGACGGAGTCCAGGCCACAGAAAACCGTCTCACAACCTACAGCACCATCGTTAGACATTCCACACGCGTCTTCCGGTCTGACGATAGAAAAGAACAAAGTTCCTAGGCAGAGTTTGACGCAAAGTTGCGTAGGGGATATACCAGAGGATACGGCTAGTCCTCAGGTGTCGAAAGGGCTCTCCTCGAGGTGAGTAGTACTTTGAGGAAGAACGATTCCATTATGTTGTAATTTAGACTTACTAGTCTTGAAACATTGCTGACAGTCGTACGTTCTTACTTTTACAGGGAAGGTTCGCAAAGTCCAACATCCAGAAAAAGAAAGAGAATTCGAAGAAGAAGTTTAACCGACGATAGTACGATAGAAAACCAAGATGCATCGAATTCCAGTGACATACCTCAGCAAATGGGTGTACCGGCTCTTGGTATCGCGCCAGTGGCAGACGAGAAAGTACACGCAGATCCAACAGACTCTCTCGGCAGGTCAGCTTTAATGACGCAGTTGACGAAACCTGCCGACGAGATGTTACAGGTAAAATGTTTTCGACGAATTCTGACGTTTTACTTGCATATGCCAACGGTATAGTAGAGGCTGTCGCCAAAAAGCGCTGTTTCTTTCGCTTCGTTGGTAAAGAAAGATCGTTCTTTATCCTACTGCTTTGGTCCTATCTTTTCCTTACCGCTGCAGTGTGGAAACTGTGCGAGACAATCATCTCCTGTATATCATGTTTATTCTTGTAAAAGACTTTTGATATGTGTTTCTAATACGTTTTAATATTTTATAGCTGCCACTCGAAAAACCCGAGCCAAACGATAATCTCATCGAGCCAAAGTCTGAATATCTAGATGATGCTGAGGAGGGCGTCGAAGATCTGACGCTGGATGACGATATGAACGACCTTAATGACATGGAACAGGACAACAATCGAGCTGGACCTTCCCACGACTCCGCCCAACACCCCGGTAAGTTTCAAATATTATTCCTTATTTATGATTTTTTGTTTTATCGTAGCGAAACGCAGGGGTTATTTTTCATTTAGAGGCAATGCAAATTGTAATATAATGTGTTTAAACTTGCGCATCGCTAAGCAGCGTTCCGCATGTAAGAATATGAAGACTGCATATAGTGAATACTAGTTGCATTTTGCACATAAAATTATATGCTCTGGAAAGAGTCAACGACAGTAGCGAATCTTCGATCCAAAAAATTCATTTGGATCGAAGCGGAGCTTGACGTCTTATACGATTGGACAGTGATTCTTGAACGGAAATTGCGGTATTGCCGGGTCGCGGATAATTACTTGTTTCTCACTTGATCGTAAATAGGAAGGGCTTGTTCGTTGAACGAATAGTTTTGGTGTCGCGAAGTCGTTTCGTTTTGTTTTGTTTTGTTATCTGTTAAAACGGGACAAATTGGCCGACACTAGCTTGGGTTTCCTCGTTGCAGGTGGGGGGGCGCGGTCTCGGTCGAGAGGGAATTTGAGTAGTGATGACGGTGGTGGTCGTGGTAACGGTGGCGGAGGCGGTGTTGCCCCATGGGCTTCCCATTTCCTCGAATGTAAAAAAGTGCCAAACATGAGGCGGCCACGCCCGGACGTTGACGTAGGCGCGTTGCTTAAATCACTGGCGAACAAGCAGGGCAGAAAGTATAGCTTAGACTCGGTTAAAATGTCCCTGGAGGCAATATTGCAACAGGGGGTTAGCACCACTCAGGCGTCCGAGATGTACGGCATTAATCGCTCAACGCTGCAGTTCTATTTGAAAAAATTGAACGTCGTCAGGAGGAGATGGAGACAACAACCTTCTAGTACCCCGGTCCAGCCTAGACAGACTTAGTGTGCGCATGCGAAAACGCGCGAATATTGTAGCATCCCATGCACCGTTCTTTTAACGTCGAGCCCAATTGACGACGGTCGTTAATATTAACAATTATTATATAGTTTTGTTTGAAATAGTTTTATTTAGTTTTTGATTTCAGTTTTACTTAATCTTTGATCGTTCACTTAAAGATCGAAATAGTTCTTACACGCATTGCCAAAAGACATTCTTCTGTATTCGTTAAATTTACCTGGGAATCGAAACTCCCGACAAGAATCACTTCCAAACTAGTAGTTCAACAAAAATTTAACGATAATTCAATGAAGTGCACGTGCGAGTTTAAAGTACGGCGCAAGTCGATGTACAAAGTATTTGAACTTTAAATAGTCTGAAACTATCAGTATTATTTATCTATTTCTTAAGTGTTACATGTAGACTATTCAAGCTAAATTGTTCAAAATTTGTGTGACTGTTACGTGCGCGTGTATGCGTGTGAGCACGATCTGCGGGGCGGATGTGTTATGGATGGTGTATTTCACGTAATTTGCCAAATATTACTTGCTGTAACGAGCCATGAGTATAGAGGGATTGAATAGGGATATCTTGTGTATAATATATAAATGTATTCTAAGCACTCCCACTGTATAAGGGAGTGCTGTGCGATTTTCCGATCGTGAAGCCCTGTGTTTCGCTGCGTAATTTCTTGATCGGTATTACATATATATGTATCCCAATATTTTTGTTTCCAATTAAAAGAGTTTACGAATAAAGTACCCCTTTTCATTCCTAGAACGACGTTTTTATTATTACTTTCATTTGATGTGCTAATTGTAAATTATTTGAGACTTTTAAATAAGGATTCCTTGAGATTCACAACTAATCTTAATATTAATTTTAATTTGATTGTTAATTTGAGATGTGCCAAAACAGTTTTCGTATCTTCGCTTTATGGCTTGTTCTTTTGTTAAAAATTTTTGAGTGATGGTACACAATATCGTATCATGCGAAGAGTTAAACGTCACATTGAAATTTATCGGACGATGGTTTATTTTAGCAGCTGGTCTTGGCTCATGGCATGTTACTGGTGACCGAAGTAATGCGGGGGGTGTTGTGGGCTCTGTGGTAGGAGGTCCCGGAACGGCAGACGAGGTTTTTCTAGCAGCTCAGGAGGGCGTTCAGCGCGACTCACAAGGTAGGCTCATCCTCATCATTTTCCATCTGTCTCCGGCCCCCGTAACAACAGGCATTCGTAATTGGCCTAACTCGTTAACGCTTCTTACGTCAACATTTCGCGAGAGTCGTTTCTACGACTTTGAATGCAAATTTTAAACAAATTTATGACCGAGTAGAATATGAAACGCGCGTACTTGTGTCTGAATGGGCTCGAGAAAAATTTCGAGATTGAAACAATGATATGCATTTTCTCCTAATGTGACAGACCGCGGACAATGGCTCATTCACAAGCGAGTACGTTGATAAAAGTTTCGATGACGTGTACACGCGCGCGTAATTATATGTGCCTGTTGCGCAGGCGGGGCGGAGCTTCTTTTTCTTTCGTTGTCGATAACGTGGTTCAACCTAGATTCCGGTACGTTCAAGTGTAGCACGGTCTCTGAAAGAGCTTTTTATTTTCTATCAGAGCATGTAGAGCTTTCCGTTAAAATCTTAAGTTCTTTGTGTACTTCTTTCTTTTTCCTTTCTTAGCGTAGCGCCGCGATACGCGAGACTTGGCGTAAGACGAGCCGATCGCACGCGCGCGCGTTTTTTTTTATCGCGTCAATCGCAATTGATTTCCTATAATTGGTATTAACGATATTCGTTCTGTCGTCGTCTCGTCTTCGTCTCAGCCTCGCAACGCGCGACGCTGCGGCCTCTCTCTCCTCCGAAAGGAGTACGACAGCGCGAGGAGGACAGCCCGCAACCGACCAGGGAGAACACGAGACCCAGTATCTCGTGTCAATTTCGCGCCGTAAAAATCACGAAGGACGATTATAGCTAGCTGTAGCTTATCCCCGGTAACAGTTACACGCGAGATGACAGTAGTTAGCAGTAAATTATAGTTATAACGCCCCCCCTCCAATTGCGAGATTTTCTATTATTTTTACGTAAACGTGCTCAACGTTGAAACAACTGTAGAGAGGTAGCCAAGATAAGTGGCGACTTAAGAATCTCTTACTGCATTACCTCGGTTAATAAAGTGGAAAGTACGGGCTATCGATTACTCTATAAAATTGTCGATCTTTCTTTGCTACATTAAATGGGACATTTTATTAGTCAAACGTCATTTGCATTTTACTATTGATGATTTAGTAAGCATAGTTTAAAGACAGTTATGACACGAAATCGTGCGTCACCGATAGCTTGAAACATGTAGGTGTAAAGATCAATAGGTAGGATTGAGTAGGTATGTCTCTCTCGATAGTCTCTCTATCTTCGAAACCGGTTCGTTCCGTTCGCGTTCTATGCATTTCCGCGGAGTCGAATAACGCATCGCGTGATAAATCCAACGATGAGAATTTCGATACGCGATTATTTTTATACGAAATGACACGGTATATGACGCATTTGTTTTGATACGGAAACACGCACACGAAACATAACTCGCTATTATAGCCGGATTCCGTTCGGCGGGAAGTGGAAGTCGTAGCTCAGCGATTAAATAGGAAATTTTCGGGACGTATCCGATAGCGTTGTTTTTCTGTTACTATGAGAAATCGAAGCTGAAGCAACGTGAGAGCTTCTCGGTAGGCAGGAATATAACGGGGCTTGCGCGACCGAGTGTGAGCCAGCAGTCTCGCGTCTCCTTAGCTCTCCAATCGGCGTTACGTGCCTTTCAAGAAATTTGACACTACTATATTAATATACTATGGGTGACGCGTCCATCACCTTCGACAACGATCGTTTTACGCTGATTCTCGAGCTCGAAACAGCCGTCCCATTTAACGCAGCCTATGCAGTTACTTGACTCTAGAGTGATGTCATCACACGAATTTTCAAGTGATGCTCGCTACACGCGTCCTTAGATCTTTTTCCTCGACATATTTAACGATCGCATACCGTTGCGCGTGATTTTCGATAACATTGTCGAGTTACTTTCTCAACAAGATCGATGCTACAGTTCTCTTCGGATTACGTAAATCTCTCTACCCTACTTACGATTAGATTCAATCTAATCTTTTCAAGTTATTTGTTTCAATCTTCCATGTGACAGTCATCTAATCATTAGATGACCTACTATTATATCACGTTCAATTGCTCCTATAGGATGAATGCAAGACGGATTCAATTGTCCGAAAACTGAGCGTGAATCTTACGAAGATTCTCTCCATCGCGAGACTTTTTACGATCCAGACCGCTCATCGCGGCGGACATGGGAAATATAGTTAATCATGTTTGTATAGTATAATAGGCATGTATACTTGCTGCCTGGTCGAGGCATTCCCACGAACACTCGCTGACCTTGGGCCCCCATGAAACTTAAAACGAACGCGCGTGATACGGTAGATTTCTCTCGAGAGAAAAGAGAAGAGACAAGAAGCGAGTAAGCGAGCGAGAGAAAAACGAAGTTTCTCACTGACGATAGAGAGGTGCGTGTAACGGTTTTCTACGGTCCACTTATGCAAAGCGTCGACTTTTAATAGACGAAATTTCGCAAAAATTTACGAAAAATTCCGCTTTTTTCATGAGATAGATTTTGCGTTGGATAAAAACTCGCAATAAAATCAAGATTGTACGGTTATATTATTTTCGAGAAGACTCTTCGGTAGGAAAAATTATATTACATACATATTTAATATAATTTAACGGTCGCGTTTTTATCGCGAGTCAACGAGCGAAAAATTGAGATTATTAAATAATCTCTTGTTTAACGCGTTCAAGAATCTTCGCCGTTAGCAAAGATAAGACTATAATAGAAAAACAAATAAAATCCGTCGTAGTTTATACGTGACCCAGATCTATCGCGAACTCGTGTATAGGCGCGTTGAACCGTATCAAGGCGACTATATATATATTACGTAACAATAAAATCGCCAATGAAAAGACAGACTTCGGTACAGTTTCTTAGCGAGACAATAGGGAGCAATTTATTGTTTTACCAATGTTATGATACCGAGACCGATAACGAATTACGATAACATATTGACCTCTTTAATGAGCGATATTTTAGATGATATAGCCGAGTTTAATAAAAATTCGGAATAGTTTAAGCGAATTTCTTCTTCGTTGCTCGTGAAGAAAGTAGTAAAGAAATTTCTGTCGGCTATCTCGGTTCGGCAACGCGAGTCTCGAGACGACGGGCCAGCTGTGAGCCTGCTTGCATCTGCTAATGTGCGGCGACAGCTGCACGCTGAGCAGCAGATGCAGCCGGATGCCGGTCGGCTCCAGATGGCTGAGCCGGAAATCGTTGCGCACATCGTCTGTCCGCATCCTTCGCGATTGGAGAGCGTTCTCGAGTGATTCGATAGCTCAGAAACGATATTTCGCATTGTCGTTGCGATCTCCCCGAATCGGAATACGAAACTTACGACGTGATTCCTCATAGAAGAAGGAATTAAATTCATACGATTCAATGAAAGCGTATTATTTTCTCAGCCTTTAATTTTCGTTAGAGCAATTACGTTATTGCGCAACAAAGAAATCGGTTAATTCGCGGAGAGACATATTGAGAGAGAAGGATAGCGCAAGTAATAAAAGTTAATAAATTATCTTTAATACAGAGATCAGTTTAGGCAGGAGGGAAAAGGCTTTTTTCAGGCGCGATCGGGTTTTTTTCTTTTTTCCCCCCCGTTATTTTTTAGGATACATGATCGCCCTAAGGTGATCCAACGTGGGAGGCAAGGTAATTTCGGAGAGAGAGGAGCGGCCTCTCTGTCAATGCTAGCGTTGCTAAATCTTCGATCTCGTGCTCGCGATCGCGCGGTTCCTGACGTGATACTCGACGGTGATTCATTTCGCGGTGTCTTTTACGCGCCAGGTGCCCGTAGAATCGCGAGAGCTCTCTTTTTGCCAGCTCGTCACGGCAGACGGGAATAACGTTCTGCTTCCATTTTTCTTCTCACGCATATGTCACGTGTGTGTCGTTGTGTCGCGCGCGATACACTTGAAAACAAAAAAAAAGGTACATTGGACAGATGCTCGCATTGATAGCGAAGGTCGTTTTTTTTCACCGTCAGAGACTTGTTGCCTTGAATCTAGTTTTTCGTGCCGAGTCGTTCGAAAAAGGAATTGAGGGGCCGATATTTAAAAAAAAAATCACGCCTCGAGCCATCGCGATCGGAGTCTCACAATCTTTTTTATTTTAGGCTCCATTGCTACGCGGAAAACGCGTCTTCTTTCATTTGTTTTTTTTTGTTTTGGAATTTCCACTTTAAAAGCTCTCTCGTACACCTTTTGGTTACCGCTTTTTGCATTTACGTGTATCTTCACGCACGTTTTTTTTTGTCGATCTCTCGTCGAGTTGGTTCCGTTAACGAGACGCCCGGGGTTCGCGATCTTTTAGGACCGGAGTTGCGCCACGTTGTCCGCAGCGCGTAGATCTTTTTTTTTCTTTCTCGTGAAATATTCTCTGTCGCGGAAACACGCGAAAGCGTTCCCGGCGACGAGACAAAGGGTAAAGGTAAACGCGCGCGCACGCACGCCTGTCCGAAGGAACGGTCGCCGAAGACTCTCTTGCTGTCCCTTCGTGAACAATCGACCGCTTCTTCTGGCAACAGTGAAACGCTCGGGTTTGCCTCTGCCAATTCGGGACGAGAGTCACCCTCGGATCCCAGATGATAAAAAAAAAAGAGAAATCAGCCCATTGTAGCCGTGACGTGTTTTTTTTGTTGCTGCGAGAAAAAGAACCGGTATATACATGTAACGAGGGCGCGTGTGCTGAAATCATGCACAAAAGTCGAATCGAGGAAGCTTGCCCGGAGAATCGCGTGAGAGGATACATGATACATCCTGCGTATTCCCGTTGATCGCGGATTGGAACAACCGGGTGCGTTGACGTACGACCAGTCGTGCGCGGACTGTCAGTCGAATTCTTTCTCTGCCCTCTATACCATGATCGCCCAGGGAGATATCTCGCGTTTTCCTCTTTCCTTTTTTTCTCTTTCTTTCTCTTTTTCTCTTTCTCTTCCTCTCCCTATTGTGCACGACGAAGAAGCACGGGGGGGAGCTCGGTAACCCTCGCATTTCTGCGTGCTT